ACATTGAACCCTATGGGGAAATTTGCGTCGGGTTACGACCAACTCGGGATACGCCCAGAGTTACGGAATGCATTAAGTTTGTATCCCGAGGTACCACTGTATATCTGAAATCTACTGGATGGGGGAACATAAAAATCAAGGTTTCTACTGTACCTTTCTCTCATGGTACAGGAAAGGAAGGAAATAATCCTTGTACATAAAGAAATTGTATATTAGAATAAAGGACCATATTCTTCATTTTTCCTTGACCCATTACTGTTAAGGAGTATTTCTTCTTAACACAAGAGGGGGGAACCAAAGAAAAATACTTAAAAGGCATGGCAAAGGAAACAACATAGTAGACCAAAATAAAAGCTGCATCTACTAATCCAAAAATTATATGTTTAAAATAAGCTTCCCACCCTTAGGGGATCTAACACTCCGTCTGAAATGCCAAGTAAAATTTCAGAAGCCAAGGAATTCCAAACTGACTCAAAACTATTTAAGGAGCAGAACAACACTATTGGCTCCGCCTTCCTCATCTGAAATATTTAATCATTTCTTGTATGTAAGCCTTTAGACATGCTGGCATGTCCTTGGGCTTAGAAGAGAAGGCAGCTCCCCTTACTTTGAAAGCATAGTTCTTGATGGCTTTGATGGCGTCGCAGAAGAGGATCTTGGAGGTAAACGTGTAACCGTGGTAGATGACCGGCTCTGAATTCGGGCCGTTCCAGCAATCGAGCTCCACACATCGGCAACCTTTCGTCAAGGCTCTGCAGGAAAGAGCATCAAAACCGATTGGGGTGTGTCCTTCAAAGCAAGTCTCCCTCTTCAAAGAGGGGAATGTTAAGAAGAAGCACCAACCTCCTATCTTTGGTGGGCCAAATAGGACATCTGAGGTGTCCATGGGGGAGCACCAAAAAATCAAGATCGCAATCAGGACCGTGCGACCAGCGGGCATCTTGATTTTTTGACTTCCTGAGGACACCTGCTAGTCATGTGTCTTGAGTTAAACACTGGATGGGGGAATCAGTCGTCTTTTCAGATAGCGGGTGTTCTTACTCAACATAACACAGGGGCCGATCCTAAAACCAATACAAAACGGGGCCAAAATCTGGTGAGATTCCAACATTTCCTGCAATTTTGGGGTTTCCAGCTGAAATTTCATGAACTCTCTTCCAAGATTTGGGCGACCTTGCATGATTTGAGACTGGTGGCAGGAGGATCAAATAGATGGGATATGGGGTTGATCCTGCCAACCCATGTACGAGGAAGCATTTACATGAGATGCCTCCTTACAATCCCACCGCTAGCCCAGGTCACAGATATAGATGTTGTTCAGTGCTAAAGGTGTTGGAACTGGCCCAAGGAGACCCAGGTTCTGGCCCATTCAGACACAAAGTTCATTGGTTGCATTTTGCCCAGTATCTCTGAGACATCAACTTTGAGAGATCCTGGGAAAACCCATGAAAACCACAACATCTTCATTTCCTTTGTCCTATGTGGTTGCGTTTTGCCTAGCCCCTCTCTCTCTTCACCTAGTCTACCTCACAGGGCTGTTCGAAGGAAATATCAGAGAAGAGAGTCCTCGGTATGGTGTGTTAAGTTGCTGGATGAAAGACAGGCAAGAAATGCAAGAAATCAATGCATGAAATATGGTTCGGTACCTGATGTAGGCTTCAGTACTGCTGGGCCCTGTTAGCTGGTCCTCCATGAGGTAGGTATTATGTGAAGAAGATATGTAATAATGGCTGAGTGGTTGGGTCATATCCTGGTAGACCTGGCGGTGAGTTTTATTGAAAACGTTCCCGTCCACAGACAGCAAATACATCTGGAAGCCATCTTTGCTCATGGCCCTTTGACTTTTGACTGCAAAAAATTGCAATTAAAAAAAGGAAAAGAGATTCTGAGAGCATTTTTTTAAACTTTTTTTCTTAGAATATGCACAAGCAATGAGAAGTAACAATGCAGTGAAGAACTTAAGTGGCTTAAGATAAAAATCTTTATTATATAACAAGTAATTTAAGGCATTTTGCAGTTGTTAATCAATGCTACACTCAGCTCTCTAGATGTAAACTTTAAACCACCTTATGCTTATCAGCATTTTAGAAAACATAGTTCATGTTGACATAATTTTCTTCTTTATCTTTAAAGGTTTAAGTTATCTAAATCATCAGTGTCAATAATCTCTAGGCAATACTGTATAAATACCACCGTACCCCAATAATATAATGTACTATTTGTGTTTTATAATAATACAATAAAACAATATATGATTTTTTTTTTAAAAAAGGAAAAGGCATGGTTTTGGAGAATGGTAGAGGATGATGGAAGACAGAGCAAGCCTGATTGCTTAATTCTGATTTTGAGAATTAAAAATTGTGGCTTCGATTGCTTCTCGATGTGAATGTTTTGGTTCACACCAAGATGACCAACTGAGGAACGTATCTCCAGCTGCTTGTCCACAGAGACCTGATTCTCCACAGAGATGACCGACTGAGAAACGTATCTCCAGTTGCCTATTCTCCACAGAGATGACCGACTGAGAAACATATCTCCACTTGCTTCTCCAACAGAGACCTGCTTCTGCACAGAGATGACCAACTGAGAAACGTATCTCCAGTTACCTGCCTCGTTGGGCTCATATTGCTCAATGAGAGAGAGTGCCAATTCAGGGCCAGCGTCCTCCTCGTATTGTTCCTGTTGCAGGAATCGCACCAGGTGGTCCAGCGACATGACCAGCTTGTCCTTCGCATGATCAGAGAAGATGCGGTCAATCTCCTTCCGCTCCGTCAGTATCCTGTAGAAGTCCTCTATCTCGTCGTCTTCCAAGGTGTCGGTCTTGGATTTGTCACACTGCTGTGAATGTAGAGGGAAGAAATAAAAGGACTTCTTCTTTATGGGACGCAACCTAAACCAGGGCTAGACAATGCAAAAGAGGGGATCATTGGACACAATCAACATTGCTGGCTGAACAAGCGAAGCGTTGCTCTCACCAAGGAGGTCAGCTAGTAAGCGGAGACAAGAAGTTCACAAATGCTTCCAGCCATAAGAGCTCTGGCCTCTCCTTTCTGGAGAAAACAGGAGTCTAATTTTGGAACTGGCAATTACAAGCTCTTCCTCCCTCCCCTTTCTCAGCACAAATGGAATCCAAGTCCCATGGTGCAATGACTGGAGCTGCACAAGAATCCTACCCACCATGCCTTGGGGACGCTTGCCAAGCAGTTTGGGGGCCCAATCGCTTACAGTGTGATCCCATCGTTCCCCTAATTCACTATCGAAAATGGGAGCCGTCAGCGGAAAAGATGACATTTGGTTTCCTAACGCCTGAGCGGTTGAAAGAGAGAAGACTCTTGATGACTAATTCATAGCGCTGAGTTGGAACGTAGGGAGAAAAATAGATATTGTGTGGTTTTCACACAACTCCAGTGCAGGGGAGAAAAGCAACGTTGAACAACCAAGCCAAAGCATGCAAATTTTTTTCCTCCTTACTTGAAGTCAGAAGAGTCCTAAAGCTTTCAACCAGTACACGTTAAAAGCCCTATTCTAAAACTTTCGTAAATTCAAGTGCTCACCATGTACACGCTCTGGGTAAGTCTGCCCTGCTGACATCACTCACGTGATACCTGCAGAAGAGCCTTGATGCATACAACCGGAGGCACGTTATGCCCAACTATCTGCAGGAGAAACACTTGAGCAAGGTTGGTAGGAGGCAGGAGTTGATACCTAAATATGGCTATCAGTCCAATGCAGCACATTAATGTTTGGTAGTACAGGGAGTCCTCGCTTAGCGACAGTAATTGGGACTGGCAATTCGGTCACTAAGTGATGCGGTCATAAAGCATGATGTCACATGACTGTGCCGACTTATGACAGCAGTTGTGGCAGTCCACGTTGCCATCGTTAGGAGAATCCCGTATGGTCGCGGTGTCCCGCCATCACGTGACTGCCATTTGTGACTTCCTGCCAGCTTCCTCATTGACTTTGCTTGTCAGAAGCTGACAGGGAAGGTCGCAAATGGTGATCACGTGACCGCAGGATGCTGCAACCATCGTAATTGCAAGCCGGTTGCCAAGCGCCCGAAACGTGATCACGTGACTGTGGGGACACTGCAACAACTGCAGCGACAAGGACCCATCGTAAGTCCCCCTCATTCAGCATCATTGTAACTTCAGATGGTCACTGAACGAATGGTCATTCAGTGAGGACTTCCTATATAGAGAAATCACAATTTGTGGGGGAAAAAACATCAACAAAGTACAGTAACCTGGGAAGAAACAGAATATAGAAAGGGAAATGGTATGTAAAGAATCAGCTGGAAGATGTATCATGTGCAACAGGAGTGACATCACAACATTGGGATAAAATTTCAGCTCAAATCCTACATTCAAAAAGCCTTTAATTGTTTCTGAAATACCTTTGACTCCATCTTCAAGAAACCAAAAACTAAATATATAACCTTCTCCTTACCTCGAAGATCTGCCGGGCATAGCTGTCATCCAACTGAATGTTGACTTCCTTCATGAAATTTTTGAGTTCCTTAAAGCTCATTTTGTTATCCTTGTTCTTATCCGCTTTCCTCAGGCAGGCGTGAATCCAGCTGTTGAAATGATTATTAAGGAGCCTACATGGAAAGGGGGTGTCATACCCAATATTTCAAACTAAACATTTAGAAGCTAATCTTCTCAGGTCTAGTGCCCTTCAAATCTTTGGGTTTACAGGGACAGGTAGATCCAGACATTATATGAGGACATCAGATGGGGCAATGCTCTTCTAGAAGATTTGAGATGTTGTGAAGAGAGGAAAGCAGATGTAAGTATGTGAAGAAAGCGTTCAGCTTTAAAACAGTTTTCTCGTGAGACCCTCTCTTTGTTCAGTCTATTTCAGTTGTCCATCTGAAGCCAAGGTTGAGAAACACTGATCTAGTGCATAATAGAGATGTGTGACTCACAGACATGCTTCACTTCTACCTTGTGAAGATGTGCTGCTCCACCTTAGCAAAGACTAGAAGTGGGGCACGTGAGCCCCACTGACGTAGCAACTTCTTGGCACCCCATTACCTGCACAGAAGCTGTTCTTAGTAAGTTTCACACAAGTGGGGTATTTGATGGGTGTTCTCCTTAGATATCTGACGTGAAGCATTCCTTTGGAAATTTGCACACCATAATATAAAGCTCTGAAATGGCATCAGAGCACGTCTATACTATGCATTTTCTGACTTGCTCTACTGTACCTGGATCAGCTTTCCCCAACCTGATGTAATCCAGAGAGATTTACTTCAATTTCTATCATCCCAACCAAGTATGTTGAATGAGCTCTTGCATCAGATTTCCACTCAACTCCCCCACCTTCCCCTCAACAGATCAAACTACAACCACACCAAGCTAAATATAATCCCAGTAATTATAACTTCAGAGAAAACTCTGGCCAGGGGATAAATACAGTCCGAGTAACCTTGGTCAAGGCTCAGTTTGGAAATTACGGGCTTCAGCATATTTGAACGGGATTGAATCTCAAAGCCACAAGCTTGGCCAACAAGAAGGTACATTTAGAAGACCTTAACTGAAAGGGTGACAAGTCTTGGGAAGGCATTACACTTTTCTTTTTTCCAAAATGGGCTTCATTAGAAGCCAAGATTGCACGTTTGTGCCATTCTGTCAAAAAGGATTTGGCTATTTTCACAGTTGACCATTCTCAACTGTGACATTGTCTCACCTGGGAGTGTTCATGAAGGCTTTCTGCCATCGGGCTATGTAAGCTGAAGAGGGGAACACTAACCATTGGCTATTCTATGGAAGCAGTCATTGGCTATTCTATGGAAG